AAAAAAAAAAACTTTAAAAATTTTGCAATCCTGAGCTTGCATTATGTTATTCTTAGGTATGTTAAAAAAAGAACCGAAATAGCAGTGCATTTTTTGAATCACGATACTCAGTTCAAAAAAATCTCATTAATGCAATGGAAGTCGAAAATTTTTTAGGAATTTTCTAGTCTTAGTGAGGAAATATCACAGGCTCTTAGTACGATTGTTGTTAGTAGCGAGATCCTGACAAAATCAAATAATACCGATCAGATGATGAATAGTAATGTTGGATTTAAAGAAGGTAGCTTCAAATTTTTGAAAGCAGAACACTATCAATTAAACTTATATTAAAGATACATGTGAATTCTATAGTATTGTTGAATATTCTATTGTAATTTTATGAAAACGTATCACTTAATGAACATTACGCAGCATATTTTTAATTTAATGGTAAGTAAATCTTTGCAGTGAAAGGGAACACAGATTTTACACAGAATATGAAAGGATTGAAGAATTTTGTTTTAAATCGATTATCGACTACAGAAAAAGTAATTTTTCTTTTTTAAAAAAAATGAAAATTTCAAGTTTTTTGATAATATTTTTCCGTTCTAATCAATTTAGAATTTTATGAATGTAAAAAATAAACAATTGAGGTTCACTACATTTGGTTCACATGCAATTAATTCGTTTTGTTTTGTTTTATAAGTAAGAAATCTTATTAAATGGTCGAAATTTTTTCAGGTGATTTCTAGCAGTGATAAACAGATATCATCACCTGTGCTTTCTACTGGTATTAAGAAAAAGGTTTTCTCAGTGGCACCAGATATTGTTGGTAAAGTGACAAACAGTACTGTTGGTCTCAATGAAGGTGATTTTAATTTTCTGATGAAAAAGGAGTGCCATTTAGAAATTGGTATATATATTTGTGAGTCATTGATTACATCTGTTATACATTTTTTTAATATGTGCAGTAAATTTATTTATGCTTTTTAGAAAAGCATATTTTATACCTTAATTCAGGTAGTGTTATTTATTCCATTGGTGAAAGTACCATATCTAATCCTTTTTAATGCTCACTGTATAAAATAGGAATGCAAAAATTTGTTTGAAGTAGTCACTGATGACAATGAATTACACTACTTGACTTTAAAATATAGGATATGCTTTTCTAAAAAGCATAAATTAATTTAATAATATATCCATTTTTGCAGTAGAAAAGAATATAGATTTGTCATGGAATTTAAAAGAATTGAAAAAAGACGCTACTGATGAAGTTGAAACTTCGACTACAGAAAAGGCATAATTTTTATTTAAAAAAGTTTCAAAATTTTGCAATCTCAAGCTTACATTATGTTATTCTTGTGGCAGGGATAAAATATAAGTGAGCACCACATGTTTTCAAAAACAGTACTCAGTATAAATAGATCTTATTAATACGATAAAGTAGAAACTTTTTTTAGGAATTTTCTAGCATTATTGATGATATATCAGAGGCTCTTAGTACTGTTTTAATTGATAAAGAGCTTCTAGAAGCATCTAGTATTACCGACAAAGTAATGAATAGTACTGCTGGATTTAAAGGTAGTTTATTAAGCTTTTTAAAATAATACATTATTTTTGTTGGTATTATTTGCTAGGGTAGAGTTTTCTTTAGTATCTGCATATATCATACAAGTTATAAAAAAGTTTATTGTCAGTGAACTTTGCATAGTAATTCTAGATAATAAACGTGATCTAAGAATTTTTTATCATGAATTGTATAAAACAATTATGATTTTGTCTGTGTGATTGTAGAGGAAATGAATACAGAGACGCCAAGCAATTCAAACGAATCTAATAGTTTCGTCACCTTTTCCACTTATGATGATAAAAAGGTATGTTTTCAATCCAAGAACATTTTTCAAGTTTTTTGTATCTCAAAAAAATTTTCGTTCTTGCATCTCAAAGTCATAATCTCCTCTTAATTATTTCAAGATTTCATTGAATCACGGATGAATCATACAAATGTATTAGACATGAATGTTCGAAAGGTAGTGATGTTTTCACAGATTTATGAGCAAAATGTGATTAGCATAAAGAGAACAGGTTTTTGTCTGACTGCTATTCTGTAAAAATGTTTGCTAGTAAATTAAAATTGGTTTAAGGCAATGAGTCATCTTGAAGAACGTGTATCCAGTTCTGGGTCGGAAAATGTTAATGCTGCCACATGCAACTTTTATGGTAATTTTGTTGAGTTCTTAGATGACGTACCAACACCAGAATCGTTATTTGACTTTGATAATGACAGTAACAAAGGTTAGTTTTTCTCCAAATTTGTTCCTCTAGAAATGATTAAAAAATTGATAAAATTGTTCACTGATTGTTCTCTGGAAATCAGAAGATATTCTTATAAGGCTGTTGCTGCTTTTAATAAGATCAAACATTTTAACGTATGTTCAGATATTCGTAGGTCGCTTTTCAATCTGTCAATAAGAATGCAGTGTAGTATTGATAATTGCAACAAAGCTATTGCAAAGTTATGCAAAATTATTTTTCAATTTTAATATGGTTGCGAAAATTTCTTGCTTTCTTTAGATTTATCAAGTGAGTCAAGCGATTTGACAGATGATCTCAGTGTTTTCAAACTCGCCTCCCAAGAGTCTGGAATTCCATATTTGAAAATCAATACAGATGATCATCCAGAAGTTGTAGAGTTTAAGCAGTTGGCAGCAAGCAGTTTAATAAAACGTTTAACAGATGTGACTGAAAGGTTATTTTAACTTATCATTGATGCTGCGTTCTGTGATTATTTATATTACTCTTCAAAAATTTTTGAGATTTCGGAAGTAGTGATGAATTAGAGAATTACATTGCTAACTTTATTCTTTAACTTCAGTTTAGAAAAATTGATTTATTGAATTCTAATAAAATTTCACTG